ATATATATATAAGAATACAGGATCTAACTTCATCCTCGTCAATCACATAATGGATGAAGTTCGCCGGTTGAGGCTACTTGTTGGAGTCTCTGTTGTTTGTCTTACCGTGGCTTGTGGTCGTTCACGCTCCCGTCATCGTTCACAAATGACTGATTCACGTAACATTCACTGCACATTTTGGCCGGAGATCCGGCGCTGCCGTCGGACTGGAGTGCTGCGGTGGTCGGCGTTGAGTCTCCCTTGGCGAAGTCGTCTTCCTGGATTAATTGCATCGGAGGGTGATCTGCCAAAAAGGAGTGTACTCCTGGAGATAAAACACGCGCTCCTTTAAAAGTGATTTTGACAGTGCGCGCGCGCGCGCCCCTCTCACCTATCCAGGTGCATTTCGAAGGTGAGTTTGTGTCAGCCTACGCACAGACAGAGGCTGCCAGCGATGTGACAACCGCCCGATGAACTCTTCAAACGGACACGCTGAGAGGCGCGAGTGAAATCATTTGGCTGTCAGCGTGTGGAGTGGGAAACACTGTGGGACGCAGAGAGGACAGGTCTGCAGCAGCAGCGAACATCACAGCTCTGCTTATTGAGGTGCGGGTACACCTCATGACATAACTGTCGAATTATCACCCAACTCTTGATGATGAGGGAGACAGAGACGGAGAGAGAGCGAGAGAGATTAGCACCATCTGTTGGAGACTCCGGGTCTCCTCAGAGACTTCAACAGAGCTCAAGTTGAAACGGGAACATTAACATTTAGGCAAGGACACAAGAGATCAGCGCATTTCAGCCTTCAACATAAGCATGACCACGGAGTCTAAACAACGCTTGGACTTTTTATTTATTTATTTATTTTAAAAAGCTTATATTGTGCTGTACTGCTGTTTTTATTGGATGCTTGCCATTTTAAGCAATTGTGGCACAATCAAGCAAAATACTATTTAACGGGGAAATGCATTCAGAGTGCAGAAGAAAAAGTGTCAGCAAAATCCACTTCAAGCATCACAAGTAAACATATGCAGGGAAAATAGCCCAGCTGTGCTTGATATATAGATATTTTATGAGGGTTGTGAGACAATGAATATGTTAATTAATCAATCAATCTAATCTAATCCGCATTGAAACAAATGCACACAAAATCAGTGAAAGCCATTATATTCCCATGGATAAAAAAAAAAAAGATGACTATGTTGACTGTTGTTGACCACAGTAGGAGGAAGCTAATGCATATTATATCCTACCTCTGTTTAGCTCATCTTCTATATCTGCTCTGATTATACCATACAAAATGTACATAGATGCTATGAATAAATATGTAATACATGTTCCTTTGTTTTATATATATATATATATATATATGTGTGTGTGTGTGTGTGTGTGTGTGTGTTAATGCTAAACAAGACTTTGTTCATGAAATAAGAGAAATGTGGAAACAATGTGCTTTAGTGCATAGTGTCTCTTACTGCCCGACATGGTTCACGCCTACTGGCTAAAGAAGCTGACTGCACTCCACGAGCGTCTGGCAGCACAAATGAACCAG